CAGAAACAAAATTTTCTATCATATCTAACTTTGAACCAGACTGCACTAATGCTCTTCTGGTACTCTTACTTTTTTTCCAGGTCGATTACGAACATTAAGGTTCGTTCATCTCCAGCCGTAAGGTTCTCTTCTATGCAGGTGTCACAGAAAGAAACTAAACACAAAAATGAGGGGAGTGATGAAAAGCGTTAACAGCAAATACGACACCCTGGATAACGACATGGATACTGCTCTTGAACATCCAACAGACAAACAGGCATTTCGACATTTCGCAAATTTCAAAAACCGAGGAGAATTTCTTGCCCCTTATCCATTGTATTCTTCAGCATAGGACAGGTGCCTGAAACTACGCTATCTCTGGCAGGCAAATACACCTCGGATATAAAGATCTGAAGAAAGACTGCGAACGTGGATACCAAACCTGTTCCTAGAAAACACGTTAGCCTGGTGAAAGGACCTTCAGGATATGAATCTGATTTGGGGTGAATGGTTTGTGATGAACCAAATTTAGAAGAGACGAAGACACAGAGTTCACTTTCTCCACCGCTGAAACGTGAAGCATAGCTGGCTTGAAGGTAGACAATGCAGCACATTAACCATTTGACGGCAATATAATTGATATCAAAAGCACTACCTATGGAGATCACGCCACAGATCTTGCTATGTACAAATGATGTTGCTCGTTATCTCAGCCACATTACTCAAGAAGCAGCGGGATTTTCCATATAGAGTTGGACGATAAACTCCGCTCTTGCCGGTCCCAAGCCTGCTTGAGGAAGGAGGAAGGTTGGAAACCGTGGCGAAGTCTCCGTATAACTGAGCCATCTGTCCCCCAATAGTATTGACGTCGTCGAAACATATATTGGCTGCGCCGTCATCCGGGCTACCAAGGGACGCGCAAGTTATTGGGTGAACTGAGGCAGGCTGCGAAAAGTCTTATGACCGTCAGGGGCGTAGCAGTACAATAACGGTTGACGACAGCGTGATACCTTTATAGCACGTCCTAAAAACTCTACGAGAACGACATCGCCAATGCGAACTCACAGTCAGAAATTGGAATATATCCTCATTCAGAGAAAAGAGCAAGAGTTAGTTGATGAGGCCATAAGGTACCAACTTCACACTGGACTCTCGCCAACGGAACGCTCTGGAATCCTGAACCTCTGCGGGTGGAAACAATTCCATTCAGGTCTCGACATTCTGACGCACGTTCAGGTAATTGTTAGGTAGAATCTAACCTGGTTGACAGAGTCATTGAATGGAAGCCTGTCAACGGAAGAGTGGCAATCCTTCGACTGAAGCTACAACAGGCTAAATCGATGACCTTGGTACAGGTCTATGGGCCCGATTTAGAGGGAGATTATGAGTCCTTCCTTGAGGAAGTAGAGCGGACTTTGTACAAAGTGCCGACTACGTCGTCCGTCATTCTAAAAAGGACAATTTTAATGGGCAAGTAGGAACAGACAGTGAAAAGTTGAAAGACGTGAATGGAAAGAACGGCCCAAACGACCTGAACAACGATGACATGATACTGTTGCGGTTTTTTGCAAGCAATGAAATGTGTATTATGAACAACTCTTCGAGCATCGAAGGATGCACTAGTATAAATGGTACTGGGAAGCTTGTGCACTGAAGTCGATGGTCGATTTGATAATCGTATCGTCTGACTTAAGACGCTCAGTAATGGTGGTTCACGTCAAGAGAGGCGC